TGGATGCATAATGTATCTTGGAGAATAGAACCGCATGGTTCTTTTGTTGAACTTCGTGGAAGGTTTAAAGAAAATTTTAATAAGTAGGTAGCTAGGTAAATGTAATGTCAAGGTAATTTTCACCTACCTGTTTTAATATAAAACCCATTAATGAATAACGATACATATTGGTAACCAGGTTTACAAGCATATTTATTTATACCAATCACTAAATGTGTCGCGCTGCTCATTTAACACTAATCGTGTAGATGTAGCCTTCTAATAAACCCAGGGGAATTATACTGGTTTAAAACTAAACCGTGGCAAGGCTTATTTACTGGTTCAGTAAATCGTTTAACCTCGTACTAATATTATCTGCTTTGTATAGGCTCGGAATAAACTTGATAGGGGGTTTAGTGGTGCCACGAGAGGGAAATGGAAATTGTTTTCACTGAAACGAATTAATTGAAACGCAATCGGTGAACTTCATTCAATGGACAACACGCATAAGTTGTAATATTAAGTTAAATTATGACTTAATTTAAAGTTTAGATCACACACATTACACTAGTTTTTATTTCACCTCAATCCGTCCAGTATTACCGAAGATAGAGCCTCGAGAAGTTTACGGACCTTTTAAAATTTTCAAAAATTTCCAATATTCGCGCGTGACGTCACAACATGATTTTGCAGCCCCCACACGTTAACCCATTTACCACTTTTTGTCTTTTTCCAACTAAAATAAAATTTTACCTAACTGGCAACTGATGTTAGTTGTCATCGTTCAATCACATTTCAAACTAGGCGCTAAAAAAGTAACCATTATTATGCCACATTTATGCACCTAAAAAAATATAATTTTTTTGGAAAAATAACCAATTTTGTGTCTCTGCTCAATAACAAGTAAATAGTCCAGTTATTTGTTGATTTTACTTGGAAAGTTTTCCGGAATTTTCGAAAATTGCTGAATAAATAGATTTCGCTATGTTCTTTCCGAATTTTGTGACCTCGTTAATAGCCGCGCGCGCGTCCGCCTTATTGAAAAAAATCCGCCTTAAAAAAGGTTGTTGACATCTACTTTTTTCATTTTATAATTTTTGGCACATAGACAAGCTTAGTTAATGTATTATTATAAAATATATTCTCTAATAAATAATGAATAACCCAAGCTTAGAAGCTTTGATAAATGTGATAAATTTAATGTACTGTAAGTTAAATAGATTTAGAGCTGTTGTGAAACAGTCAAATTAATGTACCTACCTGCTAAATTGCGAGTTCTTTTTTCTTTGATCATGGCAGGACACGCTGCCGGGTGTCCTAAATATGCTGAAGTATAAAAAAATTCGCGTTGCTGAAGTATAATTTTTTTTTTGTCTTGTTTGTTTCTACATTACATAATTGTATCCTACAAATATTATAAATGCGAAAGTTTGGATGTCTGGATGTCTGGAAGTTTAAAATAAAATAAAGTAATGTTTATTTCTCGCCTACATTACAGATAGTATTATTATGATAACAAACAATCAGGAAAAACAAAAAGTAAGAATGTTGGTGGGTTGATACCTGAACTAGGAAGATTCCTGTGTCTCAGGTTTGTTACTCTTTCACGCAAAAATTACTCAACGGATTTTGTTGAAACTGTACAATATTATTGTTTGTAACCCAGATTAACATAATATAGGCTATAATTTATGCCGATCTGTGACACTAAATCTCACGCGGGTGAAGCCGCAGGCAAAAGCTTGTCGTGAAATAAATAGGAAACTACTACTATGGGCCTCATAAGAAGGCTCAAGGTCACCCAAAGGGTGATGGAGCGGGCTATGCTCGGGGTTTCCCTGCGTGATCGAATCAGAAATGAAGAGATCCGCAGGAGAACCAAAGTGACCGACATAGCACGCAGAATTGCTAAAATCAAGTGGCAGTAGGCGGGACACATAGCTCGTAGAGACGATGGCCATTGGGGCAGAAAATTTCTTGAGTGGCGATCACGGGCTGGAAGACGTAGCGTGCGCAGGCCTCCTACTAGGTGGACCGACGATCTGGTAAAGGTCGCGGGAAGTCGCAGGACTATTCATTATGAAAAACCTATGGAAAACTCAAAGGCCTCTTGCCTTTGTCCAGCAGTGGACGTCATTTGGCTGNCTCGAGTGTCATTGTAACTTATTAGACTGCTAAGCTTGATGATAAAAAGAAAAATATTTTATTCAATGTACATAGTCTGGTCATAAGTTCTGTCATATGATAATAACTTTTGAGTTTTGAATGAAGGTTTTAAAAATCATTTTTTACTGAATTAGAATTAAAAAGAAAAAATGTGCGATAGTTCGAATTTTATTGTATGTGTGTGTAGGTGTAGTGGACGCATAAAGAAGTCCGAACTGCAGTTGTCACGTTGCATTGCTACGCGCCAAAGCTGATTTTCGTTGTGCTGAAAAAAATTAGTTTATCTTTTCATTAAATGATAGGTATATAGGTGTACCAGAATCTCATGGCAAACAAAAATATTGAAAAAGTGTCTTTCATATTATGGCAAATGTCTATGGATTTATTGTCACCTGTCAAAGTAAATCAAGTGAACTGTCAGTCGCTGCAGAAATTTTGTAATCTCTTCATGCCTATTTGTTATTTTTGTGAAAAAGTCGAAAAAGCTCAAGCAAGTCATATTGTTTTCAATGTGTATTGTAAAATAAGGTATAATTCAAAGTCAATCTTTGATTTTAAAGCGCGTCGTTGAGTTGACAGTAAGTTGGAGTGAAATTGGATACATTTAGTTTATTACCTAACTGCGTCAGAAGGGTTTTTTCAACCGACTTCAAAAAAAGAAGGAGGTTCTCAATTCGACCCGTATGTTTTTTTTTAAATATTATTCTTATGATAGCTGCTTTATCGGGGGTTTCAGGTGTACCTCACAAATTGGTGCAGAGGAATGGTGAAAATGTTATGACCATGTAAATAAAATTGAAAAAGATTTCATCAAGTAAGATGTAAGAGAGAATAATTGAAATGGTGGAAGAGCAATCTTATCTATATATATAAAAGAAAGTCGTGTTAGTTACTTCGCTTATAACTCAAGAACGGCTGAACCGATTTAGCTGAAAATTGTCAGGGAGGTAGTTTAGAGCCAGGAGAAGGACATAGGATACTTTTTATCCCGTTATTTATTGCCATTAAGGCGGAACAAAGTTCGCCGGGTCAGCTAGTTTATAATTCCTCTCTATCTTGTATCTATTCACCTCTTTATCTTGATCATCTATTGAAGAAAAGTGGAATCTTTGGAATCGTTTTCTAGTTCTGAATGAAGTGATTAGTTATAAGTATGATACATAATAAATTAGTTACTTAAAGTAATATACGATTTACTTATTTTTCAAGACATTTTCCTATTATTATTACTGACGGGATTGCTACCATGTACCTTAGTTTTGAGTTTTCAATATTTCGGCACTGTTACAAGCGCCATGGTCACGGAGTAACAGAAGAAATTAAAACCAGACATCGTTCAGAAATGTGCGTTCAAAAGACCTGAGACTTAAAAAAATCCCACGTTTGTGTTTTTAAACAGTAAGCGAAAAAAAAGTGACTTGAAAATGGAATACAAAATGATAAGTTATGGTAAATGATAAGTCTTTATCAATGAAGAAGCAGAAGTTCAATTTCATGTATCCTCCATCTAGGCTAGTTTCCATCGTCACTCAAAGTTTGAATGCGGTCTCAAATTTGGGCTTAATTGAGGTATTTTTTGGGTGAGAGGCATAAGAACTAATGCCGTTTTATATCAAAAATTCATACTTAGAGGTACTCAACCAGGTACAAAGTATTTCCTTGTATGTTAATCTGCCACTCCTTAGTATCTCCCGATATCCCCGCTTCGGCTCCCCTACTAACCATTCTAACCATTGTACACAGATAATATCTTACATGCAGCTTTTCATGTTACTACGTCACATTTTCAAAATCCGCGCGGAAAATCGCTCCTAGCGGAAGAGCGCACTTTGAGCTTGAATATTTCAGTCATTTTTAAAGATATCAAAAAAGTAAAAATACAGTATTCATTCTAATTTTTTGTAGTTTTTTTTGGCATCTTCAACAAAAATTGTGCGCCATGTCCATTGGATGAATACATAAAAGAGAGAATAATATACTAAAGAGCACAAAAGCTTAATGATACTAATATCAATAGTTAATTTCAAGTGTCATTAAATATTTCGCTGAGCTTAAATTGAAATTTCAAATGTATTATGTGTTCCAAAAGTATATTTATAAAGATGAGTAGAAAGTAGAGTCATATTATCAAGTTTATTACCTGCAAAGTTTATGGTAGTCTTACGTTATACTGAAGACTTTCACTGCTCTTGCAAAAGCTTTTAAGGTATCAAGTCTTAATGATTTGAATTATATGTTTCACCCAAGTCGTATTAATCAGACAAATCCAAGTTTATTACACTTGTTTGTGAGAGTTACAATGAACATCGTTAAGTTGTTGTAATAGTACAGTCGAGTGCACATCAACTATTCTCTTTTTTATCATCTCATCTATTACAACTAGGTACATAAGATGCCAAAGTGCTTAGCTTGGTGGGCCTTCATGTATTCATTAGAGAAAAAAACTTACCGAATCATTAGTATGATCAGCAAAAAAGTTATTCGTAACACGAAGGAAATACGGTGTTCCTCAGAAACCCTAATATTATTTAATTAATCTCTTTTTCGCCTCATTAAGATAAAAACCTACGTTAAATGTTGAGAATAGCTCCATTCTCGTGCGGTTGTTTCTAATATCGCACGCAAAGTTTTCTTATAATCCAATTTCCATACTCCAGACAATCGCGATCTTTACTCGAAATGTTTTAATTAGCTTTATTAATAGGAGGATCGTGTGCAGACAGAATGCACGGGGGTGCAGGCTCGGCTGGGCGGGGGCTGCGCGGCGCGCGGGTGGGATGCACCTGGGCGGCGGCCGCCACGTGCCGCCCGCCCGGGCCAGTCGCTCCCGCTCCGCCGCCGCCGCCGCGCGCCGCCGCCGCGCTCCGTCAGCGACAGGTGGCGCCGACGCCCGCCGCTCGCCGCCTGCGCGCTCCACCCGACGCCATACACGGCCGGCAACATCCAACTTTCATAAACCGGTTGTTTCATAAATCCCTGTGAGGTGCTCGTTTGTTTTCGAGATGAGGATCACCAGTTGATCGCAGTGCGAGCGGACCCCGAAATGCTGACCGGCGGATTTGGATTTTGAACTGTCACCGGTCGTTGGAAACTGTAAGTGCGTACGGGATGTGTAATAAATTTTAAAACACTTAAAAATAAGAATTTGTAATATTCGTGAAATGCTTTTCCTGTTAATTGCTTAGAAAAGGGTCGAAATTACCATACGTCAAGGGAAAGAAAATATGAGTACATTATTAATTAGGTTGAGAGGGATGAACAATTTGAGAGCAATAGCTGCTACGATTTGTGTTCCAGCTCGTAGCTCGTAGCGAAACACGTATTGTTTAAAATAAAGCGTATTTGAGTATGTGTTGCTACGAAATTAGGCGCTCGATCCTCGCGGCGGCGGAGGATGAGGAACACGACAGCCTATACAAATGTTGGTTCAAACACTTACTGTAAATTATCCTCTTACGAGTAAAATGGCCTGTATCTGAAATTACACAAGAAAGTATTGCTATTATCATTTATCAGGGTACATAAAACATAATACATTCAGCAAATATGATAATAAAAGCGATAAAGTTTAGTATCATGCTATTCGCAAGCTGTTGCTGAATTGATTATATTTTATGTTTTAATTTCTTTCACAGTAATATTAGATACGCGTACAACGAAATGTTTTGGTAGTAAGCTGACGATTTAACTAAAAATCGTTACTTCGCTTAATTCTCTTTCGTGTTTTTCCTCAAGTCATAATTAAGTAACCTATTTTCTGGGGTAAATTAACTGAGATTGATTCTTTTTTTGTTAATAGATGTGAGTCTACTTCGAAATATCCAACCTTCCCGTTCAATATAATTATAATGTAGCTTTTTATCTATAATAACTTTTGCTTCACTAGCTTCTGCCTACAGCTGCGCCCGCGTGGATTTCTGTCTTTCGCAGAAATCGTTAACTTTTTAATGGGTTTTATTTTTTGCGTCGAATCTCTCAATTATCATTTTTCTAAAATTAATTTTTTTTTATTAAATTAGCTAAGTATCTACCAGATAAAGTGTTCTCAAACTCAGTGCAACCGTTTAAAAATTAGCAGGAACAAGTAGACAGAAAAGTTAGTTAAGATAAAAGCATTTTCTTAAAAGCTGTTATTTAGACATCAAAAACTGTCATTCCAATTTTATTTCTACTTGTATGTATAGACATAAAACATTTACCTAGTTGAGTGAATTTTCAAATGCATTTTAAGTACTCGCACACCACACAGTACATAAACTCCGTGCAATTTCGAAATGTCTTTTCCAAATATAACATTTGGCTAGTCAACTTACTGCATTTTATATTTCTGGGCAGAAACTCTTAAAGATTTTTCATCTCGATTTTTGGCTCTGAAATGACTTTACTTTATGTTATCTTGTTCGTCTAGTGTTCTGCCATAAATTTAATGCTCTAACAAGGAAATTAGGACTAGTAGAACTTAAGTTAAAAATGTTTGTATATGTTCCTAATAACTAACGCACATAAAAACCTACTACAGGAAATGTGAAAGTTTGTAAAGATAGATGTTTGTTATTCTTTCATGCAAAAAATATTAAAAGGATTTTAATGTAATCTGGTAAACTTTAAGACTCGGAAAAACATAGGATAGTGAACAAGTCTTTTGTAACACAGTCATATTCATGAATGCAAAGCCGCAGACAAGAGTTAGTAACATAATAAAGTGAGTAGAAAGCTTCTAAACTGCAATATATCATGTCAAGCTTATTTCCTTAATTCCTCGTGTCAGTTGTGGGCTATCCTGATACATCGTACTGGTACATTGAACAACGAGACAGGTTAAGTGGCCGGAACTCCGTGTAATTGGGGGAACTCTCGCGTGGTGCAGGAAAACAGGTTGACATATAAATTCCCGCAGAAACAGGAATCCACTGGGGAATGGCTCATTGAAATCTGTAGCTGAAAGGCCACTGATTTCTGATTTGTATTTATTCAATTAGACCTTAGTGATCACTTTCAATTTTAGATCAGAGTCGCATGAGGAGTAGACCTACTAAAACATCAGAGCCGGACTTTATCATGTGAACCTAAAAAGTAAAGTAAACACAAACATTCACTCTACATTTTTCCGTCTCTCTCTGAGTTAAAAATTACTATAGGAGATTTGCGTGTTATTATTTCTCTGCTGAACTTTCCATATTCACAAAGTGAAACAAACCTTCTTGCCGGCATTTCACACATTAGCTTTTAGCGGGTGGCAAAAGGTTTAAAGGCGATATTTTCTTTCACGCGCTGCCAAGGCACTGCGACTGCACTTATTGGTTTATACTCGGCGCAGCCGGCGCCTACGCCAAACCAAAAAGAACCCGACGCAAATGTTTGAAAACATAAAACTGGGTTCAATGAAATAGTCCAGTCACTTCGATAGGCAGTATTGATTTATTACTTTTGCACTGCTTCTTCAACTGTATTTGTTTAACCCATATTGTGTACGGTATAGAAAAGTATTTGTTTTATATTACAATGCCGGTAAAGTCTGAAATTAAGTTCAGAGAAAGCTTAATAACTTACATTTAATTCAAATGAACATACTATACCATTTAGGTATTCTCACTGAATTATCGAATTGTGTTGAATGATTAACTAGAGTAATAAGTACGTCGAATCCATCTGTGAAATCACGGTTAATTAATACACACTTTATATGAATAGAGTAATTACCCACATAGGTAGGCTAGATACCTTCCATATCAGTGGCTTTGACAGGTGGTTGATGTCTCAATTAGCAATGCAATGATAAATTGGTTTATTAAACGTACCGTACTCGAAGGCAATTTGAAATCATTTTAAATAAATTGTGGTAAAAAAATAAACATATAATCTCAGTCGGTGTGACGAAAAAAAGGAAAAATCATCCTATCAATCAAATCATGTCATGCCACTTGAGGCACGTTTTATTTGCGCCCAGTTGAAACAAATAGAGAGCGGAAACTATTCACAACTAAACTCCACCTTGCCGAGCGCGTACGTCATGGAATTTATGGTTTTTCGATCGAAAAACTTCCACAGTGATAGTCCGTTTGCTTGGAAACGTGTATCCTTGCCAAATACTGCTATAGGACCCATTTAACACCCAGATTAATAATTTATACGCTATTCGTCGTCTAAATATTATGATAGAGAATTTAACCCAATTAAAATAATGATTATGAGAACAATGTTACCCGTCTAGAAAATCTAATTTTGAGGCATCCAGCAAATGTTATAATGTTAGGTTAGTGAAACGGCTGAAACACCATATAAGTAATACAAAAAATAGGATAAAAATTGCCATAGTCACTTATCCTTAGAGGGAACGATCCGAGGAAAGTTCTGTTAATAAAAATAATATTTACCTTACAATAATGGCACTTCATAACCCCAGTCGGGTCGATTGTTCATTGAGAAGGTTGCCACTTATTGAAGAACGTTTCTTCTCCATCGCCTGTTGGTACTTACAGCGTGAAGTACAAGTCTTACAAGTCCTCCTTCTCCTTCACTTCACTTATTGAGTCGGTGACACACCAGTTACTTTCGTTTTTCAACGAACCCACATAATATTTTTACATGCTATACCTACCTACCGACTCTAAGTTTTCATAAGAATGTTAAAATTAGTTTCCATCTCAGTTCTGTAACTAGTAATAAATATATAACTTAAGTCTTCCTAGATTTCAAATTTCAATTCATACGTTATCACATTGAAGGAGTTCAGACAATTTGAAAGTTCATGAATAGTAATGAATGTTGCAGAGGCGCAGCGCAATGGATGCTCGTACCGCCCGCACTTATGTTTGCTTCTATCGCCCATACCCAAGAAACGACCCCATAACTTTACCTTTCCTTCCACCAATTGGTATGGTATTATAGCTTTACCTGAATTTTATTGTTGTACTTTTATTGGATTAGTAACATAATCATTGATAGGTACATTTTATTTCTAATCTATACAAATGTTACCTGAAGAAAATTGAAGTAAACCATATCCACCATACAAAGTAATTCAATTTTATCTATTTCGAGAAAAAAAAAACCTTATTCTTTATATGTGGTGCATTCAGGTTTATTCAGTTTTAATTAACACTGTTTTATCTGATCATGTCAAAACTTTTGGTTAGTGCATGGATAGAGCGCAAGAAATAAGTTGAATGAATAAACTTTTATACTTTTAACTTTATGTGTTTGGTGCAATAAATCTGCTGTTCACTTTAACCAATCGTTTTTATAAGAGAAGGATCATTTATTGATCGGTCATGTATGATATGTATATCTGAAGATTTTTTTTATTTTGATGCCATAAAGACGTGTTTGGTTTGTGATTCCGTCATGTCAGTTGCGGCCATTGTATGAAATCGATTCAAAACTGCAACTCCAATTGTATTTTGCATGGTCTAGCTAGCAAATGTTACATTTACTACACGATTGTCTGCACACCAGACATGGAGCATGTCCCATAGGGATAGAGCAAAGCAAATCAGTGACACTTAACGACGATTTATACTAATGGTACCGATAGCCAAACAAAGCAATGAGATACCTTAATCAGGCCTAAGTAATAGAGCAATAAGGTTCTAATTGTAGTACACTGTAACAGTAACGTAAGGAATTACGTTCCCGTTTTGTTCCCAGATACAGTTGAGTCAGATAGTGCAGGTGCTAGGTGGCGTTTTCGAAAGGTTATAAAAAAAACTGACAACAGCTTAAGGCGACCTCTATTGGCCTTCAACGATCCAATACCATCATTTTTCGTGTAAAGGATATCTTCTTTAAAATAATAGGTAGCCATTAGTAAACCCTGAAGACTTACCAGATAAAGCTGTTCTATCCAGATTCAAGATGCTTTTTAACCCATATAATGCCCAGAACTATTTAGGTCTCAGATTTTTATGTAATTTGGCATATTTACATTTTTTATAGGCATCGCAAGAGAACATGTAGCCATTATGTCGCTTTCGTACCTCTGGGCATATATGGGTCTGTTTTTCTAACTACCTACTCTTCGTCTTATCCAATAAATTAATAAACGCGGTATCGCCAAACAAAATAAACTGTAACTGTATGCGTAAGTGAATAAC